CAGGAAAAAAATGTGAAAGTAGCAACAATATTATTGGGTTCTTTTTTTGTAGTAGATAAGCTTGGGAAAAGTTTAAAAAAAAGTATTTAGAGTCTGAGGAATTTGTTCTAGCTAATAATACTATTTGGTGATAAGGTTTTGGAATGTAAATACTCCTTTTCTGGCAAAGCAGATGTTTAAGACATATTTCCCCTGAATTAAGTATAATATAGCAAAAGTAATCCTTGGTTAAAGCTGATTTTAATTCTGTTGCCCTTATAGTTCAATTTTAGGCATGTATCCAAGAGAAATTCCCACTGAGGCAAGGCAGATCTAGTTCAGTTAAGATGTGATATGATAAATAAATATATCCACTGCAATGAACCTGTTTATTTAATTTTCATATTTTTCCATTCTATGCAGTGGCTCGGTTTAAAAAAAAGTAAAAGAACAGTGTTCTTTTTTCATGCATTTTCATTATTTTTGCTGACTCCCCAATTGAAAAGGCACTACAGGTGGTCCTCAACTTAGAACAGTGCATTTAGTGACCATTCAAAGTTACAACACTGAAAAAGTGATTTATGACAGTTTTTCATACTTACGACAATTGCACCATCCCCATGGTCATGTGATAAAAATTCAGACGCTTGGCAACTGACTCAGTTGCAGTGTGCCAGGCCATGTGATCACCTTTTGTGACCTTCTGACAAACAAAGTCAATGGGGAAACCAGATTCACTTAACAACTGTGTTATTAACAACTGTGATGATTCACTTAACAACTGTGGCAAGGAAAGTCATAAAATGGGGCAAATTCACTTAACAAATGTTTTGCTTAGCAGCAGCAATGTTGGCTCAATTATGGTCATAAGTCGAGGACTACCGGTAATGCATTGGTCTTCTATCCATACATATGAAACCCCCACACATATATTAAATTTGAGGTCAATGGATGGAGCATTATTTACACGTTGGCCACCAAAACACACATAATACCCTTCCTCTTTCAGAGAAAATTTATGTTTCATCTAAATGTAATTAGATGTCTATGCAATGTACCCAGGGATAACACCCAATGAATCCATCTGATCTTTATTTTAGATAATATGCTTGGAATTATAACTCTGTATAAAGAGGGAAATACTTCCCTTATCTGGTCACATCAGATTCTAGGGGTGGTGCTCATCTCTGTTTCTTAGCAGAGTGAGTCAGCATTGTCCAAAGATATTTCCATGATTATGTGGCTGGCGTGACTATATGCCAAGGTGCACAGAATGCTGTTACCTTCCCACTGAAGTGGTACTTATTTATCTACTTGCATTTGTATGCTTTCAAATTGCTGGATGGAAAGGAGCTGGGGCAGGAATGGGAGCTCATCCTGTCCTGTGGTGCTTGGATCTCGAATGAAATCTACTCACCTTCCTGTGAGGGGAAGTTGTTTGGCAATCAAACTGCAAAGGCCCATCAAAGACAAGCTCATGGGCTCAAGATTGTTAGGGATACGTTTCAAATAAGGAATAGCAGTTTTGTTTGTGCAAGTCTTTGTCACTGGATTCCTTCTTTGTGCCCTACAATTGTATAGTATACAGTATCATCATGGAGCAAGCAATTCCAGACATCGGGATCTAAATTGGTTGGTTGGATACATGCTAATGATGGCTGAAGAGATGTTGCCCTTTTATTTTCTAACACCACATAACAATGCCCACTTTCCAAAACACAGTTTAACCCAGTACTACCCAATACCCATATTTTTGGATATAAATCACTGTGGAAAATAGTTTGCTGTCAGGCAACTGTTTACTTAAACTAGGAATCTTTCCTCATCTGCTTTTGTACAGAGTTGCCACTAAAAGGAGAACATTATGTTATAAACTTCTCTTTTCTAAAAAACAGAACAGATGTAAAACATCCACTCTTTAAGCTTCTGCTTTACTGCTTTATTTCATAACCTGAATTCTTTGTCCCAAGCACACAATTTTTTGGAAGATGCTAACAGCAGTCCATACAGTTTAAGAACAATTTCAGGATGCTATCTTACATTCTAGTCTTCCCCAACTTGGTGCCCCCTTCAGAGCTGAGACCAATACTCCCGAAATTCTTAGCCAGCATAACTGAAAATTCTGGAAACTGGAAAACCGCACCATCTAGCAGTGTTTCTCAACCTTGGCAACTTTACAATGTGTGGACTTCAACTCCCAGAATTCTGCAGCTAGTGTTGCTAGCTGGAGAATTTTGGGAGTTGAAGTCCACACATTGTAAAGTTGCCAAGGTTGAGAAACACTGATAATTCTAGAGAACCAAATGGGACAATGCTACAGGGTATGAGTACAATGACACATGCTGCTCCATGTACATATGTAATACAATACTGTAAGTCCCATATAATTTGAAGAAAGTTAAAAATAGATGTCTGTATAGGATGACAAAATCAGACAAATAATATAACTCCTGCTACTACAGGTTTTTTCCCCTTTGCCTCTCTCCTACTTTTTTCTCTCTTTGTCTTATCACAAGCTTTTCAAACCCAAAATATTTTGACAAAATTCATTGTCAAATGTGTACTACCTCATGTTTCTAAGTTTTAAAACATAAAAAGGTTCATTAGTAACAATGAAAGAGGCATTGACAAAGGTAGATTAAAACAAACTATGCATTAATAAAGAAATGTAATGCTTTCCTTGCGTCAAACTGCAAACTGCAGTTTGTTAACTTGAAAAAAGTGGGAGGGAGGACTTTGGATGTAAAGTCTGACTATCTTTGTCTTTCTAGCTTGATTATTCTGCAGTAGGAAGCTTCTTTGTGCATCTGAGTTCTTTCTTGCTCTGTTTTAAGATAGGAAATATTAATACATTTAATAAAGTACAATATAACAGATTTATCTTTTTTTTTAAAAAAAAAAAAACTCCTTCTAAAACATTCACTCAAAAAATCCCGTTCTCCTGCTACGAAGATGAAACAGTACCCCAGAGAAATAACTTACATGTAATAGTTAGAGGCACTAGGAATGGCAGTATAGATTAAGACCTATAGAAGAAAGGCCTTTGGAAGGAAATGATAGCTGTCTTCAATAAACTAACATGTTGTATAAAAGGCAGGGCAGAATTGATCCAGAAGACAGGATAAGAAATAATGGATTAAATTATAAGGAAACTGATTTTGGTTGGACATTATGAAAACATCCCTAACATTAAAAGCTATTCAAGAGTGGAAGAGACTTCCTCGTAGATGGTAGACTCTATTCAGTGTTTAAATACAGGCTGGAAGGTCGCTTCTTGGGATGCTGTAGTACAGGAGTGTGAAACTGGCAGCCCGCAGGCCAGATGGGTCACAAGCAAGCCACACCCACTCCGGCTCCGAAAAGGCAAAAAACATCATGATACATCATGACGTGATCAAGTTTGACACTCTTGCTGTAGTATATTGTATATTGGGCAGGGGGTTGCATTAAATGATTTCTAATGTCATTTCCAAACTTTATATTCTATGATGCTTCACACATCATTGTGGTAATTAGGTACTGTATTGAACAAAATATTGATAGCAGGGTTTAGGCATCAAAATATTGCCCGCCTGCCCCCACTTTTTAAAAAATGAAACAGCACAACTCTTTATTTTAATGCACTTTATTCCCCAATAAATTTATATAGCTTGGAGGCTTCACTTTCTCTTCAGTTTAATTTAGGCAGATTCATTTGCTGTTGGTGGATAGATCAGATTTCATAAAAGATGATAGCAATGGATTGCTACATTTTTATTTAGGCTATAGTATTTGTAATTTTGCATGTGATAATTCCAAAATCAGAGTAGCATACTATTCAGGACAAGGGGACAAGCCCTAAATAGATTGTATATGTTGGCTGTTTTCATACCAGCTTAATCACATTGATATCAGGTTAAAAAAAAATCTGTTCTCTATTCAGCTACACTGCACTCAATAATACTGTCCTATCAATAGTCATTTGCAAGGACACGTGTGTAGGAATTGGCTGTGTGAATTCAGTGTAAAACACAACTGTAATACATTCAGAAAACATTCAGAACAATTTAGAAAACAATTTAGAGGGCACATTTACCTGTACTTATTCAAAACTGAGTTCAGTGGAGGTTTTTTTTTACTGTCCTGCTTCTATACAATTTAAGCTTATTTTTGTGGTCAATCCCATTTTAATAACCTTTACACATAATAAAAATAAGGCAAGGTTATACATATGTTTAGCTTCCATCTAAATCATATTTACTAGGCCTGACTCACAGTTGCTCTGTGACATTTATTTCTTGAGTCAGTGTTCAAAGAATAATGTTCCTAAATGTCCGCAGCAGGCAGAAAGTCTGCAAAACTTACACAGCAGTGATGTCCTTTGGGACAATTTCACTTCCAAAAACATTAACCTTTCCACTTCAACTTTTCCAAACTTTACCATAAATTACTAGCCTTGCTTTTGGCTTTGTACTTTGTTGGGCATCTGAGTGAATAATCAAGAAAGCCATCAGAGGCATCTTGCAAGCTGGCCCAACGCCACACATTCTTTCTAAATTCAGAAGGGTCAAAAGTTGATTAAATTCTATTACCTTGGAAAGAAAGATGCATGCCAGTAACATAGGGAAGCTACTTGGAAAGTCTCAAGCATGTTTACTAAGATTGGCTTTTGGACATACTGATTTGGATATTATAGGAAATGTAGTCCAATTCACATGGTAGGAATCAGCCTGGGAATGGCCAGCTCTGGAATGCCTTACTTGGACTGTACAGGATTGCAACTCCAGTTTCTGGAGCTCTTGACAAAACCCATTTCTAACTTCGAAGAGATTCGCAATCTACTCACTAGTTGGTAATGGATGAAACATCCCTGGGCAACTGCAAGACCCCCTTTCCCCTAAATCATCTTTTTTACCAACTCAGAATTGTCCCGTCTCCCCCAGTCCGTTGCTGACCTCCAAGTGTGGGCCGATAAAAAGACTTCTTGTAACGGGCCGCCCGTCGGTGGACGGTAGAAGGAAGGAACGGCTGCGTCCTCTTACCTCTCTCTCAGCCTGTTGTTGCGCAGCCTTTCTCGCTCCACGGCGGCAGGCGGCTGAGCCACCGGAGTGAAGGAAGCCGCCGCTACCTTTGTGCGGGCAGCTTCTGCTCTGCGGGCGAAGTCGCGGCCGCTCCGCGACGGATGCTCGACCGGCTAGGTGGCGGGACGGATGGGAGAAGGTCGGGCCGCGCCGATCCCAGGACGGCGTTCGCAGGCGCCTGAACTCCGCCAGAGGGAGGAGACCGCAACGTCACCGGAGAAAGCAGCCGGGGGAGAGAAGAGGGCGAGGAGCCCCTTAGTCCCACCTCTCTCCCGATCCCCCCTCGCGGATTTCGGTTTTAAAGGCTGGTGGAAGTCTCAGACGCCTGGGAAGTTATTTTCCCGCCAAAGTGGCAGAGCGCGAGGCGAGCCCCTGCCCGCAACGCTTCTTCCAGAGAAAAAGGCTGACTTTCACAATAATTTCGCTTTCTTGTAACAAGGCTGGCCACCCCTCCCAGGCCCCCGGAGCAGTCGCGTGGCTAAAAAGAAGCGACGCATCTGTGGAAAGCAACCCCTTTCTCCTGGCCCTACTCTCTCCCGGCCTCACCCGAGTCTCCTCCTTCCCGGGTCTCTTAGCTGAATCTCTTTGGATCTTTGTCGACAGGCAGTGAAGTTCTCGCATGAAACAGCTGTGGCTGCGCCTAACTTTTCTTTCTTTGCTCGCTCTTTTGGGTACCAAAGGAGTTGGGGGGGGAGCGGGGGGAGACGAAAGAGGCGAAGTCGCCTAAAGCATTAAAAGACACTCCACTGGTTTCTTTCCTGTGTCTTCAGGGCGCAGCTGTTCATCTTTTCACTCCCCAGAGCCCTTCGGATAGCAACCAAATTAGCTATCCCCCTCAGTGGCCCACCAAAAAATGAAAATATGTGTTGGCTGGTTCTTTAAGGAGCAAGCATTTTTTGCTAGTTTACTTTCCCTGTTTAACTACATCCTATTTTCCTTCACTCCAGGAGGAAATCAAGTGAGCAATCACAGCTCCTGGCTTTGAAATAAAGGAGAAAAGCAGCGTTTTCAGGGCAAGGAGCTGTTCTGCAAAATGGGGTCATGCTTTTTTCCCCCCAGTACGTTGTGTGCTTCACTGTCCTCTCAGTATTACAAAAGTGGTTAAGTCAGTAATACAGGTAGTCCTTGACTTAACAACAGTTCACTTAGTGGCCATTCAAAGTTACAACAGCACTGAAAAAGTGACTTACAATCATTTTTCACACTGATGACCATTGCAGCATCCCCATGAACACCTGATCAAAATTCAGACACTTGGCAACTGATTCATATTTATGACCATTGTAGTGTCCCAGGATCATGTGATCACCTTTTGCTATCTTTTGACAAGCAAGGTCAATAGGGAAGCCAGATTCACTTAATAACCATGTTACTAACTTAACTGCAATGATTCACTTAACAACTGACAAACATTGTAAAATGGAGCAAAACTCAGCAACAGAAATTTTGGGCTCAATTGTAGTTGTAAGTCAAGGACTACCTGTACTACACTGAGATGGACTTTACTTGTTGATGCTCAATGTCTGGCTGTATGAGACATAGGGGATGGCCACTTCATTTCCCCATTTGCACCGCTGAATTCTCCAGACTGTACAGTAGCAGAGATTCTGAGCCAAATCTCTTAGAAGATAAATCTGGTTATATTGACATATTATAAGCTCTGTAGCCAATCAAAATGATGTTCTTTTTTATTTAAAGTGTACAGTTTTCTCTCAGCCTGAAAGGCTCCCATATAATGATAATGCAGAAAAAAAGTCTCTAGTTTACTGTCTAAATATAACATGATGTACATTTAGAAGGGATTGGAAAGAGAACAGGGAAACAAGACATTCAACATTTATTTATGACCCAAGAGCAAACACAGTAAAAGATCAACACAGCAAAACAAGAAAAGTCACATATTCTTAGTATTTGGTAATTCCTTTTAATATTGGCCAGCTATGATACACTATGGGCTATTCAAGGAAATATCCTGTCCAGACACCCATCCTCCAGCAGATGATCAGTCATTTCTGAAGAAATGACTGCTTCAGGGCCATTGAGTTCAAATAGTAGCAATAGCAAATAAAAACATCAGATTCACTTAGTCTGCGGTGAGGTCCCATCAACAGGTTCCTCCATGTTTTGGTCCCCGATGACATTTGTCAAAAGGAGGAAGAGGTTTACCTCAGCTGTTTGCAACTCTGCTTCTTTTCTTAATAATATATTCCTAATATTTTTTCCTATACTTTATCTAAACCAGAGGTGTCAAATTGCTGGCCCACAGGCTGGACGTGTCACAAGGAAACCACACCCACCCCATTGCTGGCAATGGGGAAAAAGTTCTTATACGTTGCGCAACGTCACGTGATGTCACGAGTTTGACATGTCTGATCTAAACTAACCAGATTTTTAGTATATGAGAGCCAGTGTGGTCTAGGGGTTAAGGCACCAGGCAAGAAAACATGACACTATGAGTTCAAGTTCCGCCTTAGCCATGAAAGCTAGCCAGGTGACTTTGGGCCATTTACTTTCTCTCTCATCCCAAGCCACTTCCCAAAGTTGTTGTGGGGAAACTAGGGGGAGTGTTCGATATGTTCACTGCCTTGGTTGTTTATAAAAAATAATAAAGGTGGGATACAAATAAATAAATGAATATTTATCCTAAGTAGGTCTCCACAATAGTCCCATCATCTTCTTTTAGAAGTGATCAAAATAACACATCTAATACAAGTGGTAACAGGTTTCAACTCCTGCTTAACTCTCCAAGAACATCAGCAGATCCAATTAGCACAAAGAACTGCAACATGATCGATCTGTTGAACTTTATTTGCCATTTATAACTCTTTTTAATCACTTCTAATCCATGTTAAATCATTTTTATTATCCATTTTATCATACAGTTAAGACTTCACTTTAATTTATAATGATTAAAGGGTTAAGTGTTGTTTTAACCTTGTATGTCTTCCAGAATCACCGAAGATATAAATCAAATAAATAAATAAACCTTCTATCTTTCCCCATTTCCCCTCAAGCCCTGTTAGGCTGCCTCATCAGGGTGGATGAGGTGGGAGCGAAGGGTGAGCACTAGGACTTTATGCCAAGAATATGGATATCCTGTTGAAAGATCTGCAAGGCCAGGTTTGGGAACAGATGATCTGGAGAAAATATATCTATATGGTTACTAACACTAATTTGATTGCATATCATCATCATGATTGTCATTTTTTCCCCAGCATTACTTGTTATTTATTATTACAGAGAAAATTAATTGAGGAGAAAAAGAATAACTGCATAACAGCCTTGAGTGACATAGCTTGAACAGATCCGAGAAAATCTGCTTTCAAGGAGAAATATTGCTGAATGTCATGAATATTTCATATGTTTGTATATTGGGGGAATCATCATCATCATTACCACCATCATTATATTGCTGAAATTTTAGGAAATGTGAAAAAGCATGGAAATTCTGTAATTCTCATTTACTATATGAGTTCTTATAATTAAAGGATATTAACTATAACTTGATTTTATAAACAATGCTTTTTGATGATTTAGATCATCAAATAGATGCTACAAGTATATGAAAAGTATATTTAAAATGAAGACAAGCAGATGTATTTGAATAACATGCTTCTACTTTTTGAGAATGTAGAACGTTTTGCATTAGAAGATATATGTATTATTTCTTTTTTCTATCTGCTGTTTTAAGTTGGGAACTCATATGACTGCTCTTCCGTATTTTCACTGCTCAGAACTTGCTTTGCTCTGTTTGCCAAATCTTGTAGTAATTAAGCATATACAACCAACATTCTTTTAATAAATAACATTGGATTTATAATGCAAAACAAAAGATGGGGGAGGAAACAGCCTTTTGCCAGGTTGCAAGAACCAACCTCCAACTGCAACCTGGCAAACTGCTGCTATTTCCTGCCTCATCTTTTTGTTTTGCATTACTGTATAAACCAAATGTTAATTATTTATAAAAATCCTTTGAATGCTTTTAAGCCAAGGGGAGCTATTGAAGCCATATTTTCCACAGCATGCCTATCTGTATTTTCTCCATTCTAAGACTAGCTTTTATCCACAATGATCTTTGCCTGGCCAAGGTATTCTAATGCCAGTGTAATCTAATAGTCTTAAGATTGAACTGGAGTGCAGGGATCAGTATTGTAATGTGGTCAGGCAGACAGCTTTCTGCACGATTTTTGAATAATCGTGCTATCTTTAATGGAGGAAGGAGGGGTTGAGTACAGTTAAATAAATGAATAATACACTTTGGAATTTCATTTAGAGTGTACTTCTAATGAGGTGCTTTATAACTAACATATATGCATGCATTTTTTATATTAATGGTCTATATCCTGCCTCATTCTGAGAAGTTTCAAAGTACAATGATTCACAAAACAGAAGAAAAATATAATAAAATGTGAATAAAAATGATTTTAGGCAGTAAAGGATCAGGAAGGAAGGGAAGGAAGGAAGGAAGGAAGGAAGGAAGGAAGGAAGGAAGGAAGGAAGGAAGGAAGGAAACATTTAACATTTTAACACAGACTTTTAAAACCCAAGAACTATTCGATAAAATGCATAAGTATATACAAACCGTTCGTACTGATAGAAGAAATATTTGTAGTTCAGGACTGAATTGTGGAGTCCCTGGTGCTCCCTGAGCTTGGTGGATTTCTTGCAGATGTTTCATTAACAAACATCAGTGCTAGAAAGGAGTGGAGTTTGCTCTTATTTTTATATGTTAGTGGCTTGCCCTGTCATTGTTGGAGGGAGTGTTCTTGGTGGTTCCAGGTGTTTACATCTCACCTGCATCAACACCCATATGAGCAGAGATTAACACCAAAATAAACCCAGGGGTAGGCAACCTTGGCTCTTTTATGACTCATGGACTTCAACTCCCAGAATTCCTGAGCCAGCTATGCTGGTCATAAAAGAGCCAAGGTTGCTTACTCCTGCACTAGACCAACAATCAAGAAGTAACAACAATCAAGAAGGAACTATCATTGCAGACAAATAAGCTAACAGTAAACAATAGTCTAATCAAGGAGCCACCAAAAACACTCCCACCACTAATATATAAAAATAAGAGTGAACCCCATTCCCTTCTAGCACTGATGATGTTACCTGGTTTGGTGATGAAAAGTCTGCAAGAAAACCACCAAGCTCAGAGAGCACCAAGGACTTCATATACCTTTTGTAATATAGGCAGTCACTGGATACATTTCTTAGGAAGATAAAAATTGGGAAATGATCATGAAATAGCTCTCTATTCAGAGTAACTTGATTCCTTTTAGAAAGCATGTAAAGACAATCTTATACTCAAATTATTAACTGGCACACTTATTTATATGTAGAGATCATTTAAGTATTCTAATTCTCTCTTATTTTAGGGATTTTAAAGACTAAAGACAAATCAACATAGCTTTGTTGCACTTCCTCCCCAAACTGGAGCTAGCAAGGTGTCATGCCATTATCCTCCTTCTTTTTTGGTTGTGATGGGCACTAGATTCCTGACACCCATTTTTTCCTTGTAAAGTGCTTGATTGAAAAGTTAAC